AGCTTTTTCTGTGTATAACGTTTTTCTTTAAAGTTCATGCGTATGGAGGAAGTGGGAGTAATACAGACAGATGGTAACATCCTTTTTATTCACCGACACTTCTTTAACTAAGCGGAGGCAATGGACCAACAGAGAGATTACTCGGCCTACTCTCTTCTGATGTGGTTTAGAGCTGTTTATGAAGAAGCAAGAAACAGAGCTGAAGAAGTTAGTACCACTCTGGCAAATCACATCAAAGGGAAATCTTCCCATTAGTGGCAAACAGAAGCCTAAAAGAAAGTTGTGAGGGAAATGCCGTCTTGGCTGATTATTCAAAAGTCAGAAGCAATTTGCTCCAGAGATGACAATATTTTTCCTCCTACAAATTACACTTTGTAAAAGTGAATATTTTTCCACCTGTAAAAATTGCAGCAATGTGTAGGCAGTGATGTTACTAGGCTGGACAAAATCAAAATTCCTCTTCTCATTTTTTGTGGGGAGTGCTGTATTTTTTTAAACGATGCACTAGGTTTCTTAGAGCCCTTTTTAAAGTCATTCGCCTTGAGTCCTTTCCCAAAATTGTACTCAGAATTTTTTCAAGGCTATTCTAAAGAGCAATGGGCTGCAAAATGGGAAGGGTAACATGAGGTTCATAGGCTGCTTATTTTTCAGTTTCTCCTAAGAAGCATTTACAATTCCCAACTGATCAGGGGCAGGGGGTTGAGCTCTTTCCCCCTCATGTTTCATTATGGTTACTTGTAAGAAAAGCAAGTATTTGTGGGTTTTTTTATTAGAACTAGCTGGGACAAAAAAAAAAGAATTATGCATCCAAATTTGGTTTCTCCCTATGGCACCAACTCTCTTCTGTCTCCACTATCTACAGCTCCATTTATACAGCAAGAACATTCAAGACTATGATAAAGAAATTGCCTGAGCTCTCTACAAATAACGTAACATTTTCATGGGAAAATATTTTTCTCCATTTACAATTCTCATTACTATTCCAAATGGGACATAGTGGCATGACCATGGGCCATACAGTATAACAATCAGTTCTTATGATACCATCTATGACAACTAATTTAACTCTCCTGCTGTAGCACTCACGATGTTTATCTATTTACTTTTCCTTTCTCTTTTTAAAGAATCAAAACATCTAATGGGAATGGGAGCTTTTCAGCCACTGTAATGTAGCCGTCCCTATTCTGCTGACAATAGGAGTGCTGAGCTACAACTCTTACAATTCCAGTCAGACAACTACAGATAGAATTATATGGAAATTAAGGACTGGTAATCCAACCAGATGGTGGGGGGACTGATTTAAAAAACAAACTTGCTTATTAAAACCAATTATATACTGGCTATTTGTGTACTAAGACTACTGTAGTGAAATGGGCTACAGTTTCCAGACACTAAAAGAAAATA